GAGAACAATGAAGAGAAAACAAAGCTCCTTATATCAAATCTGGGGAGTGGCAGCTGTGTTGAAGATAAATGAAATTCTATGGAAGAGTATGAAACAAGGGATAATATTATCCAGAGAAAACAGGGGAAACAAGCAGTGGGAAAATGCTCCCAAGGTTACTAGTATGAAACAACTAAGGGGGGAATATTCCATGGAAGGAGATAGGAGGAAATAACTGTTTCATGGATCAGGGGGATTGCTACTAGTGTGGAACACAAGGGGTAAGAAGAATAGAATATGTTTGGAGGGGAATGAGTTTCAGGGCTGTGGAGTTTCTGTCTGGGAAATAATATTATCCATGGGGTCTGTGCTTGAGGGGATTCATGATTGGTTTTGGGGGTCTGGGGAGCTTTCTGGGGTGTCTTGAGTGTGTGATTCTTCTGTGATTTGTGCTCTTGATGACTTTGAATTTTCAGGAGTGGCTTACCACATCCACCCCCAAATTAGATGATGTCCCCATCATCCAGAAAGAAAAAGAAAGAAAAGACACTCCTGAAAATTCTGAAAAAAATATATCCTAGCTAACTAAACTGGTCATAACTGTGGAAATTCATGATTAGAAATAGTGCCAAAAAAAAGAAAGAAACAAAATAAATCTATGGTTGGCATATGTAGAGGAATTATTTTTGTACTTTTATATTATTTGAGGATTTTTTTTCTATTTTTATTTTATTTTGCTTCATCAATTATTTGTGAGAGGTTCTGATATCTTGCTTCTTCATGTAGCCCAGGGCATGATAAAAGGTAGATGACTGATCTGGAAACATAAGGAGGAAAATATAAGGAGCAGAATGAATAAAATGGGGTCTAACCACCCCCAAATTAGAGGTGCAGGGGGTCTGGGAGTATCTGGAGAAGGTAACTGATAAGTATCTATTTTTAGGCTTTTTAGAAGAGCAATAAAGTGTCTTGAGGAAACAGGGAAGGGGGCAACCACCCCCAAATTTTGGAATTTTGAGGGGTGATACAGGGTTTAAAAGGATTGAGTCAGATTAGCCTTGTTCTTTCAGTGAAAAAAAAATTAAAATCCTCATCTCTTCCTCTTCCTCTTTTTTTTTTTTTTTTTTTCTTTTTTTTTTTTTTGAATATGTAGCATACTTCTTTACCCTTTTTGTTTCAGCCTAGAAGTCCTTATGAATCTCTCTCCTGTTTTTTTTTTTGAAGTCATTGATGGGTATGTATAGCTAGTAGTCCTGTCTACAAGAGAAGAGTGATTTGAACCCACTTGGACAAGGCATCTGGTGGTTTTTTTTTTTTTTTTTTTTTTTTTTTTTTTCAGTGAGCTCGGTACACATGTAGTCGCTTGATTGGCCGATTGAGATTCCTTGTATCCATGGGCACACAGAACTAGTGGACGGTTGATGAAACATTGTTGAAGCCTCCTCCTTCAATGCCATGAAGACTAGTTGCAGCAATTCTTGTTTGACCTTCAGTCATGACAACTGCTTGCCACTGGGAGTATTGGTGGCTTTGATGTTCTTTCTATCGTGGAAGTCTTGTTGGAATGTCAGGTTAAAATATCTTCCCCTAAAAAGCTGCTTCCTGCAGTCATTCTTGCCATTCATCAAATAACTTGAAGTTTTCCTTTTGATGAAGCCTAGAGTCTGCCCGATACTAGGGTCAAACAATTTGCTATTTACCTCTTTTCTTTCAAATCGCTTCAAAACTCCAATCCCTCTCGTCCTGCTTCTATTCCTTCGAGCTTGCCAAAACGCTTCAACTTCGCTTGTCGGTAAATTTGAACCATCTACAGTTATTTTCTGAATGCAGAATGCTGATTTGATCGATTGCTTGCTTGTCACCTTGCTCTCTTGATTCTTTGAACAGACATGAAAACCTTCAGCTCTATGATTCTTTGTGTAAGTCCGACTGAAATTCATACTTCTTGAGCTATAATTCAGCAAGTCTGATAGGTCTTTCTTGGCCGTTCTATCCATCGACTGAACTTGATTTTTGGAAGCATTACAGCCCAACCGAACCACCATCTGCTCGCGAATTTGATATTTGTAATGATCTGTAGCTGGTGTGTGTTTTGCCTTGCTCGCTCCTCTCCAAACCTCAAGCATCTCATATGCAAAGCTTATGTTGGCTTCTCCTCTTGGCTGGTTGTTGAAGCGAACCAAAAGAGTTTTTGCTATAGACTTCCTTGCTCCGCTTTGATCCCAATGTAAGCTTCTTAATCTGTAGTTCGGTGATTTGAATGGTAAACCCCTCTTGCTTTTCGGACCTATCCAGCGCGAATACTTGCTGATATAACTCTTCTTCCACTTTCTGCTATCATTCCGAACCAAACAAGCAAGTCTCAGCGATGCAAAATTGGTCAGTCCAATGCCTATAGTATCCGGTTTAGGCAATTCAGGGTGGATCGATGGTGTGTATCCTGCTATCCTGACAAGAAGAACTATCTTATAGCTACACCTTCTAAGGGTTTTCTTCTCCTTTAAGCTCCGATCCAAATCATCCAAAGCCAGCGACGCGAAACTGGTCGCTCCGACATCAAATCCATTTTGACTCTTCTCCTTTTTATTATTACGTTCAGGTTGAGTCTTGAGTTCAGTATGCCAACCTAAAAAGGATTTCAGAGGGTTTATCTGATCCTTTGGCTTTATCCTTTGCTTGATGAGCTGTACAGATTTTCTTGATCCAAAATTTTCAGGGCCAGCCATGCAGGGTTGGAGAGGAATTTGACTGATATCAGGGGGCTTGAAGGGTGGGAAATTCTGTTGGTGGGGAGCTGGTGATT